TGTGTGTGTGTGTGTGTGTGTGTGTGTGTGTGTGTGTGTGTGTGTTGGAATAGATACTGAAGCCTGTTCCTTTTCGACATGGAAAAGTTTTTCAGCACTTTCCCAACAGGTCGGTCACTGGGGCAGTTTGAGCAGTGCTGATTCCTGACTGTTTTCTCTGAAGCCATTTTGACTTCTGGTACCAGGTCGGAGGGGGAAAGGTCTCAGAAAAGTGTGATGTCATGTCACACTGATAGGAATAAATTCAAAATCCCAGAACAGGTTTCTTCCCATTTGTCGATAATCATTCCACTACAACCTCTCCCATTTCATTCATACATAGCCTTTCTCACAATCTGAAAGTAGCCCTAAGATGCCCATCTGAACCTTTTTTCTAGTATGATTCTACTCATTTTCCTGGTGAGTGTATGTCATTAGCATGCTCATAGAGAGTGCAGTCGTGTTTTTACTAAGGGCTGTTCTGTTGGGGTTATTCTTGTAGGTTCTCTTCTGAAGCTCTGATTGTACTACATCCTTTTCCCTATTTCTTTATAACTCTACAAAAGAGAGTCTTCTGGAGACAAGGTGCAGAAAGGACAGATGGAGAAAGAGTAGAATGCAAGATCAGAGGGCAGAGGGTCCCAGGTGCTGCTGCAGCCAAGGGATTCTGTGCCGGGGGCTCATTTATCACAGCTTGTCTCCTGGCAAGTCTGTGCTGCAGGAATGAAAGTGAGACAGATGAAGGGAGATCAAAGCAGGCGGAGAAAATGGAAAAGTACCCACCCTGTCTAGTCCGTATCAAAAATAGAGATTTTAATGTGGCCGCATCATTTGGAGTCAGAGGATCCTCTCCATCTCCAAGGTCTAACTCTCTGATTCTTTTTCTTCCATCACATTTTGTCTAGCATCTAGGTGCAGGTGGGGAATATTAAGGGAGGGAAGTGGCAGCCTGTATATTAGTTGTCTGTGCTCAGGCTTGCCATCAAGCCTAGTTCATACCTTCCCTCTTGACCCCTTGGCCCTTTGGCCCCTTCCCCACTTGTTTGGGGATATGAATAAGTTTGTTTACTGTCTGTCGACCTCGTGATGTCTTTGCACAGACATGACCCAAAGTCATCATTCCTTTTGGGCTTCTCTGTTTCCATGACTACCATCTCAGGGTTGGCTACTTTCCCAAGGTCACCATGGCAACTATCAGAGGGGAATCATGCTTGGGATGCTTTGGATGGGTTTTTCATGAATGATTAGAATGTGTGACACAATGCAGACGTGAAAATGAGAAGGGAGGGTGGAGGGGACTGGTTGGTGGGTGGCTGGGGGGAGAACTCCCGCCAGACAGTCTGTGTGCTCCCTCCATACACCCAGTGCTGCTGCTGCCCATCTCACTCTCCAGCTACAGGCTTCGAAATCCAGCTCATTGACTCCCTTGCTCATCAGGGACCACGGGGTAGTCTCAGCCGGAGTCCTTCCATGCTCTTCAGATCGTGGGGTCAGGATGTTGGGGGCAGCATAGGAAGAGGTGATGTCACAACTGCAGTGCCCTTTTCCGTGGTAGGTACTCGATGGGCGGGCTCACCTGGCAGCATCGATGCTCTGGAGGCAGGGTACCAGGAGGAGGGGCCTGGGGCTAGGTTTGGGTTGCAAATGTTCCAAACGAGAGTTCTTTGTGAGAGGCCAACATGATGGCAAAGGATGTCATCTCACTGGAGGGACCACCTTTGTGGTTGCAGTCAGGTCTCTGGACTTATCACTGTAGACCTTGGGAAGGTGGGAAAGGATGTTTCTCAGGGTGTGGGTGTGTTGTAAAATATTAAGCAGTGCTGCTACTCAGGCAAGGTTTCAGGTATTTCACCCATTACCATTCTGTAAATTGTTGCTTCAGTTCTCAAAACATTCTGTCAATCTCCATTACAGCTGAAAATGTAGCTTCTTGTTCTGTGAGGTGGAATAACACAGAGTGTGAGGAATGTTTGTGAGTGGTGTTTCATCTAAAAAATGACACTTTTCCTATGGTATAGAACTAAGAGGAATATTGAAAATCTGACCACTGGCTGTTGGAGTGAGAGGAGGAGTTGCTGGTGCTGGATAGTTGTTTTAAAACAATATATTAACAACTGCATATGGGGTCTCCTGAACACTAAGAGCAAAGTATCCATGACTGTGAAAGTTGTGTTGTAGCATCACTTTTGGGGTGGTACCCTTAGAATAAAATGTCCTCTTCTGGACCTGCTTTTAAAGAAGACAAGAATTGTGTGGCTTTCGGGATTGTGGGTCTTCTTTCATCGTGCTTAGAACAATGATTATAGTTAGATCCTCTTTGGAATGGAAAATATCATCCCTCTGAGAGTAGCATATCAGAAGATCCTTCTGGTGGTCTGAGCCTAGGCTTTACTTAACCTATATTTGCTTTTTGTTTATTTTTCTTTCAGTTGCATTTTCCAATCAGTTCTGTCCAGGTGACTGTGCCCAGGTTATGACGACTAATCCTAAACCAAACAAGGCATTAAAGGTAAGAAGGAATCCTATTAGGTAGTTTCAGGTAGATCCCAAGAAATTTTCAGAAACTTGTGACAAAATCAGGTTCTACCAAGGGTCATTTGTGTGGAATAATACCTTGTGTCCATAAGAGTATGGGTATCTTTATTCCAGAGTTCAGAGCAGCACATAAGTTCAACATGGGCTGACCCTACCCTCCTAACAGGGACCTGTGTTCAGGTTTTGTTGAATGAGAATTGGCAGCCTTGAGAAGTTGGAAACCCAGTGAGGGAGAGTTGTTGAGAGTATCTAGGGGCACCTAATTTAGAAGATAAGAAAGCCCCATCCCTTGCCAGCCTGGTGCCCGTTGGTGGTGGGATAACATTGAACCCACTTAGGTTCTGCTTCCTGGGTGCTTTAGAATGAAAGCCTGAGGACTACTTTTTTAGATAAAAAATCAGTAGTCTGGGACTTAGCTCTTTAAGGGCAGGCAGGGACTATTTCATATTCTGTCTTTGTATGCCAGCACCTAGCAGAATGACTAACACTAAATACTTGGCAAATGTTTCATTGATCCAGTTCTTTGAGCACACACAGCCTCTCAAGTGCACTAGAAGGAACACCTGAAGCTTTTCCTATGGAGCAGTAATGCTCAGAAACATGGAGAGAAGCAGGGGGATGGATAATGATTTATAGGCAAGGTTTTTGTTTGCCACATCTGTCATCTAGCAGGGTTTTTTTTGTTTGGGTTGGGGTTTTGTTTTTTAGTATAGAGGCTTCTGTAACAGTGTGTGGATTTAATAGACTTCTTTTCTGGAAATTGAAGGAGGGATTCTATTTTGCTGTGGGGTGTGTGACTTTTCAAATTGAGGTTTAAAGTTGATTTATTGCCTACTCGTGTTAGTGGAAGATTCTAAAACAGCCTGTCATATACATGTTTCAAACTGGCCAGGCCAGATTCCTAGCTTGGTTAGGTTATATACATATTCTTATTCATTGTCAAGTACAGCCAAGATGCCATGTTTTACCTTTGAAGAAATATAGGGGGCAGCTCCATACATGGCCTTGTATAGCTTTGTAAAGCCCCCTAGGTATTGCTCTGGATTCCTCTGTAAAGCCCTCTCTAGCAATCCCAGCCATCTGCCTCCATGCACTTGTAGTCAGCAAGATGAGGTCACCTAGGCTGCATACTCCCCATTTTCCCGGCTGTTAACCCTGGGCCACTGGTATCTTACCAGGTCAAGAAGGAGTCAGGAGAGAACGCCCCAGTGCTCAGTGATGATGAGCTGGTGTCGATGTCTGTGCGAGAGCTCAACCAGCACCTCCGGGGCCTCACCAAGGAGGAGGTAATCCGCCTGAAGCAGCGTCGGCGCACACTCAAGAACCGAGGCTATGCCGCAAGCTGCCGCATCAAGCGGGTGACCCAGAAGGAGGAGCTGGAGCGGCAGCGGGTGGAGCTGCAACAGGAAGTGGAGAAGCTGGCCCGAGAGAACAGCAGCATGAAGCTGGAGCTGGATGCCCTGCGCTCCAAATACGAAGCGTTGCAGACGTTCGCCCGCACTGTGGCCCGTGGACCCATTGCTCCCACCAAGGTCGCCACCACCAGCGTCATCACCATTGTCAAATCAGCTGAGATTTCATCCACCTCGGTGCCCTTCTCAGCTGCATCCTAGTGCTCCAGGCAGCTACTGGTTAGAGGGTGGGCAGGGTGAGGGCGGGTAGGACTGGCAGCCCTTTGAGAAGGGGATGGGGAAATGTCTCTTGTGTTTGGTTAGAGTCTCTTCAGTCCTGTTGAGTCGATGTGTCTCCTCAAAAACAGTGCAAACTACCTGTAAAGGGACCCTCAATGGCTGTTTCACAGTGGCCTTTGATGGTTTGTGACAGGAATTTGAGCTTGGGTGTAGGATAAGGGAAAGACCTTTTGTAGAACTACCCCATTCAACCCCCCCTTCCTGTTTCACCCTCCTTCCCCATTCCCAGACCTTTCTTTCCACCCCTTTGTGACTATAGCAGATCTTGTTATTGAGGAAAAGTTTATTTCTTGAGGTGCCTCTTGGACATTTGGCAGCCAGGAAATGTATATGGGACCCCAAGATTCACCATACAAGGGACCATTACTCCAGCAGATTCCTCTGTCAGCCTATGGCAACTATTGTTCAAGGGGACCTCTGCACCATCTCCTTGCCCACCTGAAGACGCAGCATCACATCTGTTTTGTGCTTACAATGAAACTTAAGTGGTGACTCTGTAAACATGATCTATTTGAGATGTACCAGTTAGAGAAGGCTCTCAGTTTTTAGCTCATATTTTCAACAGTTTAACATATTTTCAACTTTCTTTCCCCCTCCCCCCAGTCTCTCCTCTACCCCACCTCTCTCCGCTATGTCCCCCAGTCATGAGGAATAAATTTTCAGGTTCCTGACATGACTAAATGCCTGGCTTCCCTCCCTGAGCAAGACCTGAACAGAAGGCATGTAGTGCAGCTTAATTCTTCCAGGTGTTCCACATTTAGAATGCACTTACAGCCCTGTTTTAGCAGTTAGCTTAGGATTCCCTGGTGCTCCAATAAAGGAGGTGTGGAAAGTATTAGGTAGGCTTTCGTGTGTGTGCTCACGCACACGTGTGTACAGGATTCCCCAGGGGAGATATCATAGCAGTATTACCGGGCAGAAACTGAGCAGTGGCAAGAGAATGTCTGTTCCACAGAGGACTGATTGAGTACAGAGGTGTTATTTAAGGAGTAACAAAGTGTTCAGGATGGTCTCCAGAGAATAACCAGCAGGAGAGAGAGCTTCAGCAGGAAGGAAGTAGCATGTGTGCTGGGCAAACCAGGACACCTTGACACCCCCTTGTATGCAAACGGGGTGACTGCTGTGGAGCACTGGGAGGCAAAAACAGTCTCGTCTTGTTCCAGTGGGGAGCCATCCATCACGGGACCAGCTGCCAAAACAGCAGGCAGGTCATTGGGCACTGGGAGAGAGGAGGGAAGCTGAGAGGAGGAGCCAGCGTACTTGTTCATTGATTTAGAGCAGATCTGCAGGTAGGCATTTCAGAGCTGATGTCAGCTTCCTTACTGCTATGTGAATAGTGTCTTGTGTTCTAGGCATCTGCTTGTGGTCAGCTCTTCTCCATGTAAGTGAGAACACCGAGTCTCTGAAACATGGTAATTTTGAGGGGCCCAGAGAGGAAATACCGAAAAGAAGGGTTTTTGTTGGGGAGAAGAACATAAGCAAACCTTTGGTTCCAAGGAAAGGATGTGAGAGGGATTAAAGGTGTTGTGGAGGAGGCGGGGGGAGAGAGAGGAATGGAGGCATCCGATCACTGATGCTCTGGCCTGGTGTTTGGTAGCTGAAAGACTTTGGTGCCAGTAGAGATGTTGTCATGTACAGTACACTTGACATCGTGGTTCCTGTTAGAGATGAGACAGGAAGTAGCCTTGTGTGAGCCAACAGAGTGGTGTAGGGAGCCGATAGGGCCTAGAGAGGAAGGGGTCAAGGGTAAAGGTTATCTTGTGTCACTGAAAGAAATAGAAAATGAGTGTTACAGAAGAGACTAGAATGTGGTTGGAGGAAGTTATTGTTGTCTTGATTGACTAAAGAAGGTAGATTGTGCACTCTGGAGAGGAAGTATGTTTTGAACTTGATTACTGAAAGTTTGAGGTTTACCAGGTGGATCCTTGAGAATCTAATTGTGCTCTTTTTCCACTGCATTAAAGATGAGGGGAATCTGTGCAACCTTGGTGCTCAAACATCGTCTGAAGCCTTTAACTTGCTTTTTCTTTCCTGAGCAACTGAGCCATCAAAGATCTCACAGTAATGTTTTCCTGTGGCTCCTTCCCAATGGAGAGTAGTAAAAGCAACCTCAGAACACTTTCTGGATGACTTTATTAAACATTTGGGAAGGTGTTTATTTAGCATTACTACTTCCATATCTTCCACCTCCCCTGCTAATAGATTGCTGTTGACTGTTAAGGTTGGGGAATGAAACTGAATTAGGGTCACATTCCCTGGTCAAGAAGCATATTCTACAAAGTTCTCTGGATCAACTAAGTGCTCTGGTCTACCAGGTGCAGTCTGGATTCTTTATGTGTAGATACCTGTATGTTTGTCTATGGGGTGGGAGGTGGGGAAGAGGAAGAGTGGAATGTGACGCCTATCGATTGACTTTGGGTAAGCTTAAATATACCACAGCCCAAGAGCAACCCTGCGCGTGGAGAAAGCTTTGTTGGGTTCATCAGAAAGAAACCTTCCTCCCACCCCATTTCCCCAGCTCCCTGCTCCCATTTCCCTCTTACTGTACTCCCCCCACCCCTAAACAAAACAAACAAGCTGCAGAGGACCTTAAGGGTCCTTAACCACATAGGGAGGCTATCATAGGAGTGACACAGGCCCCAAGGGCTGAATCTTCATTCTGTGTCTCTGCTGTTGGAATAAAACAAGAAGTATCTGAACTTCTCCAGTGGCACTGCCATGTGGCTGAATAGTTTTCCATTTCCTGGAAGAGTGCCAAAGGGTTTGGCCAAGCTGAGAGCCAGGTCTCTACCAGTAGGCACTTGGATTCTTCCAAAACAAGAGGCCTGAGTGTTAATAAAGCTGTTGATACCATAGCCATGGTAGGTAATCCATATTGGATATCAATAAGGACCACGTGGAAATATTTAAAGAGAGAGAGAAAAAAGTAAATATATATATATATAATTATATACACATTTTATCGTACAGATTTTTCGTAAGCAAAATTAACTTTTTTTTCAAGTTTGATACTGTAAATCTTTATTAAAAATAATTGTCAGGTCAGGAGTCCCTGACCTGGCAATTTGACCTGGGGGTAGAGAATGGGAGTGTCTTCCCTTCTTTTTCCCTAACTCTTCTGCAAATGAGTCATAACCACAGGCTCTATGGAAGGAGGGATCTGTTGGCTGCTCCCCACACCCAGTTTTCCCTCTTCCATTCTGATTAGGGCTCTGGCTTTAAGGCCCATGCATTCTAAATTCTATTCTGCATGACATTCCTTTTGAACCACTGCCCTAGGCTTGGGGGATGACCCCAACCAGGGCTATAACTCCCACCAGATGTCATGCCCTGGCATTTCATTCCCCAGGTGCTCCAACCAAATCCTCTCCCCCACCCTGCAGTCTGCTCCACAGATACCCCTCCCAAGCAACAGTATTTCCTGTCAACCCCCTTTTTCCAGGGTGGGTTTCATTCTGAACTTCTGGTGTCCAAGGCTGGAGTGTTTCTGTTCTCCTTGCTTGTGATACACAGTAAAGGCAGGTAGGTTTTTAGTATTGTTGTTGTCACCTTTTTCACACATTGTTGATGCCCCCTCAGGATGGGAGGGACAATGCTGTGCATGGATGAGTCAATTTTTACATTGAATTTTTGACCTGTAAACCCCTTTCCAGAATGCAGGGTGGACGGCTAGAGACATATCCAAAAGTTATAGTAGATCAATAGCTGTGCTTGCCTGGTCACCTGAAGGAATTTTGGAAGTGTGGGCAGACAGCTGATCAACTCTTGAAATCTGAAGCTGTAGGCTGAGTAGGGAGCAGTGCATTTAGTGGAAGAGGAAGAGAAAGCAAGGCACCTGGGGGTGGGGTGGGGGCAAGAGGATAGTGCTAAGAGAGTTTGATATCCCCTGGAGATGATGTTGGGCATAGGCTGGCCTGGGAAAGAGGTGACATTTTTTTCTCTCTCTCGCCCTCCCTTTCAAATCATTGAAACTTCATTGTCACAATTTTAATATTTTGGTTTTCTTTTTTAATTTAAGAAAAGAAAGTCCATGACCTTTTTGTAACGTGGATTTGTTTTCCTTTTTCTCTTGTGCTTTAATCTTCTGGGACCTTTCCATAGAAGGCAATTCCTTTGCTTACAATGATAGGGACAGTCTGTTTAAGTTTTTAGCACCAGCTCATTCTGTCCTCTGTGGTTATTCAATAATTTCATTTCAATATTTATTTTTGTGCTGCTTTTTTATTATAATATAAATTATTGAGAATATACCAAGTAATGTGGATTCCTGTTTGTATGGCGTATAGCCCAGTGTTTGTGTCCATCACTTTTCTCTTCTGACAGCCACAACGTAATTTATTGCTGTACATTTAGCTGCTGTGACTGGTTTTGTACCTTTCCAATAAAGCATTTTTCTGGTTTTGGACCTGTCCTGGTGTGCAGTCATTGTTTTTGGACTTTGGATTGATAGGTGCTTGTGGGCTGCAGCTGCTTCATATTAACCTGTTAAAGATGTTCCAAACCTCTGACACACTGGCCACGTCACCCTCATCCCCAGGACAGTAAGAAACACTGTCATTCCCAAGCACGCATACCTTGGGACATAGCATGAATTTAACACTGAAACAGACCTTAGAAAACATCTAGCTAATTACCCTCATTTCATAGACAATATTAGCTAGCATTTACACAGTTTTCGGGTTTGTAAAGCACTTTTCATATGTCATTTCGTTTGGTACTTAACAACAACCCCATGATATAGATGTCCTTATTGTCTCTATTTTACAGGTGAGGAAACAGGCTGAGAATGGTTAAATGACTTACACAGCTACTAGGTGTTTGAAGCAGGATTTGACCATAGGTTTTCCTGACTCCCAAGTCCAACACTATCTACAGTAATAGCCAGCTCCCTACATGAGGAGCCAGCAGAGCCTGGAGGTTAAGTGACTTGCCACATCAGTTACACAGGTAGTAAGTGGCAGAGCTGGAGTTCCAACGTAGGTCGTCCTCTGACTCCAATTCAGTGCTCATTCTATTGCTCCATGACACTAGCAGAACAAGGGCAAAACCTCATTATGCCACATTCGGAAATTTGCTAATCTAGTCTAAGAAAATCATTCTCCAAACTGCACAACTAGGTCCATATTTACACATTTGTAAAATCTGCATTACATTGACCTGCCACATCAAGAAGTGGAATTGCATTCTGCCTGTAAAAGGGGAGACAGAAATTGCATTCTGTCTAGAGCCACCTACCAATACGTTTCTGTATCACAGAATCAGAGCGGAAAAGGGCCTTAGAGGCCATCTAACCTAACCCATGTTCCCTCCCTCCTTCATGTTTACAGATTTGGAACTGAGGGGTGCCATAAGAATGTTTAAGTGATGGGATGTGAACCCATGTTATACTGACTTGAAGTTCAGTACTTGATCTGCTATACCATCCTGCCTCTCTTAATTCATGTGTCTCAGATGAAATTTGTTGTTCTAATCCTTGTATAGTGGAAGTTTCTCCTAACTTAGAACCAAATTCTAACCTTGTCATTATTCTAAATTTTTATTGATGCCTTAGCTTGACAAAGGCTTTGTTGGTCATATTTCTTAACCTAATGGTGAGGTATGGATTAGATGAGATGACCTCCCTTCCAAGTTTTGAGTTCTACGATATGACTAATAGTCCTTTGAATCTGTGACTTCATCAACAATAGGGGTTTCATACATGTAGATCAACCCATGCCTGCCCATCCTGTGCACTCATCTATGTTCTCCCAGAAATTTGCCATGGGGATCCATCCAACATGCCAGAAGTCTTTCTCAAGCTCTTTGGACATTTGGAGGATATGGGGGAAATCCAGTTCCATTCCATTGAGAATAGATGTGATGATTCAGATTCACTGGCCCCCATTTGAATATAAGCCTCTCAGGGCAGGAAATGTTTCCTTTTTGTTTGTGTACCATTAGCATCTTAGCACAGTGCCTGGCACATAGTTAGCACTGTATAAATGTTAGGGATGATGGTGCTGATGTCGTGACCGACAAGCTCCTCAGTGATAGGTCAGGGTTTAATTGGGAATTGAATTAACTAAGTAGGTTTGTGAAAGCCACTTAAAGTTTTCTATCCTACTTCCAAAATCTTGAATTTTAAATCCATTAGGGTCAGCATGGTAGGCCTGCAAAGAATGGTTTGTTGTCCAGGACTCTAAAGGTTTTGGAAGAAAGCTGGGCCTGTCTCTTCTTGAGCTTCTGGCCAGAAGCCCAGCTATCTCCTGGTAAACTATTGTTACAGGAATGATCACATCCTAGAGAGCTGGGATAATATAGGTGAGCTAGTAGGCACTCTTGGGGAGGAAAATGTCTTAACACAACTTTTAAAAGGTATAGCTCCTGGAAGTCCTGCCTGATGAGATGCAAAGCTAGAAGAGACGATTGTTACCTGAGGACCACTGGACAAACCCATACAAACCTCCACGTGGACATGGCCACTGAATGTTGGAGGTTTCCAAGCTAAAACTCAATCTTTAACCTCTACCTAACCTTTGTAGTGTGAATTTGGGAGACTGGTTTGTTAAAGAGTGACAAGACAACATGACCAAAAAATTGATAGGGCTTTGGCAGCCTGGGGAAGCTATGGAAATAGAATCATAGGATATTCAAGCTCAAGTGGACCTTGAAAGGTATCTAATGCAGCAGGGTCAAACTCAAGCAGAAACAGGGACCACTAAATGGTACATGATGATGCCTGTGGGCCACATATTCTCTGTTCTATATTTTTATTTTTTAAAAATATTTCCCAATTACACTGAATCTGGTTTGGACCACATTTGGGAGTATTGTGGGCCATATATGGGCCACAGGCCCTGTGTTTGACACCTCTGGTTGAGTTCAGTAACACACAAGAAACTTAAAAGGAGGGAAAAACAGATCCTGTTAATGACTTACCCAAGGTACCATGTCTATTAGTGGCAGGACTGGGTATCAGGCCATAGAATCATGGAATAACATTAAAGGTAGAAAAGGCCAACTCTCTCCTTTTATAGATGGGCAAATAGGCCTCCTGACTCAGTCCAGATCTCCTCACGCTATCCCACTGTAACAAGGTTCAAGTCACCTAGGCATTTATTTAGCCATTATAAATTTGAGGGCACGAGACTTTTAAAAGAGCCCTACTTTCCCTTTCCCCTAAGAGCAAGGAAAGGGTAGCTTGAGGAGATGAAAGACCATCCTAGGCCATGCCCCCTTTTGAGATAACCCTGCGATGTTCAACATGCATGTGTTCATTGCAGATGTGCTGACCGAGAACCAGTGTGGTTCTATTTTAGACTACCCTAAATAATACTAATGGACATCTATTTATGGCTTTAAAGTTTACAAAGTAATTTATACACATTATCTCATTTGAACTTGGCAACAGCCCTGTGAGGTTAAGTACTATTATCCTCATTTTACAGGCAAGGAAACTGAGACTTGAGAGAGGTTAAGTGACTTGCCCAGGGTCATAAAGCTAGCAATTATCTGAAGTGGACTTTCAACCCAGGTCTTCCTGACTTTAAGCCCAGCACTCTCTCCACTTGTGCCAAGGGCAATGATTCAGGCTCACCATCTGAACATAAGGCTCTCACAGGAGTACTGTGTCACCTGAGTCTGGGCAAGTTGCCTTTTCCAAAGCCAATATGCTTCATTTGCCTAATGCAGCTGGTCAAGCTTGGACAGCTGGGGCCTGCTTCCCCACTCCTTATCAGAAAACAGGTTTTACTGCATCCCCTCTAAGGAAAGTTTATTGCCTCACTTGAGGCAATCAGCGGCTACTGAATGAAATGGGCTAGTCTACATCCACAGGAAGATTAGAATTTGCAGCCTCTGAGCGAACTCAACTGTTTCATAAGCTAGGCTTACCATGCTGCTGAGCAAAGGCCTGACCTTTTGCCTTTAGGCTCCTAGTGAACTGTGGAGTTCAATTGCAAAAAGGCTTATGGCTTTCCTGTTCACCTGATGCCATTCATGCCACCTCAGGATGAGGACACAACAGATTAACACATCTTTTCTTACTTTCCTGTTGTCTTTCTGGCCCCTCAAAACTTTGCTTAGGGGCAGCTAGGTGGCACAGTGGATAGAGCACTGGCCCTGGAGTCAGGAGGACCTGAGTTCAAATCCTGTCTCAGACCAGACAGCTGACACTAGCTGTGTGACCTTGGGCAAGTCACTTAACCCCGAATGCCTTACTGAAAAAAAAAAAATTTCATTGCTTGTGGTGGGGTCTCAGGTTAAGCCCATCTGGTGCCTAATCTGGATTGCTGACACCTAGGGTGTGGTGTCTTCCCCTCCACCAAATAAACTTGCTGACCTTGTGTTTTATTGAGACTGGTCTTAGAAGCAGAAACATGGGTGTGGTCCCACCAAAGTGGGGGTGGGGAGGGAGGGCCAACTCTCAGGTTTGCCAACAGCCGGAGACATTGCGATAAGAGAATGATTTTCTCAGCCAGCTAAGCAGAGGCTGGACTGGAAAAGTCACTGGTGTATCTTATCACAAAGTCCTGCTGTTAGTACGTGTGAGGGATGGCTAGAAGTGGGGGCAGGGATTGGGAACAGGAGGGGTGTTTCAGGAACAGAGAACTAACTAGCCTGGGAGTCAGGCTGCCTAGATTCCCACTCTCCAAAGGACCCCAGGGAATCAGAGTTCTTAGCACTGGAGACTTTGTCGTTTCTTCTTCAGCTATCTCTGATCTGAAAACAGACACTGGCCTGAGGAACCTGAGAAGCAACCTCAAGGTAGTCCCAGGGGTTCAGGTCTTAATCCAGGGACACATCTGTCCACTATCATTTCCCCTCCCCTTCTAGCCATAACTTAGCTCACTTGGGGTGACTTTGGGCACAATTATCTAGTAAGTATTCAATTTTCCCTCAATTAAAAAGGGATAACAGTCCCTGCCCCCTGAATGACCTCATAAGAGCGAATGAGATCACCTCTGAAAAACACAATCGTGTCACATAAACAGAAGGTGGTGTTGACATCAGGCTTCGAGTGCACCCCTAATAGCTGGGGGAAACTCAGGGGTAGCAGAAGATAACTCCTGTGCTTCTCCCCACACCCTTCATCCCAGAGCAGAGTTTCAGCCTGACCCCACATGAAGTTTGGCTAAGCCAAGGGATTGATTACACAGAAATAGAAGCCACATAGACCCTTGGGGGGGGGGGGGAACAAAAACAAAAGAACATTTATACATAAATCAAAGCAATTCACTTGGAAACTTGTGACATATTGTGGCATATCTCACAATCCTCTGACCCATGGCACAGCTGGCAAAGGAGATCGTGTGGCTTACAGCCCATTCCCCCCATCCTTCTTCCTAGACAAGGGAGTACCTCGGGATTCCCAAGCTGGTCACTGAAGAGTGAGACTTCACTGGTCCGATGCTGTTTAAAGGCTGATCAGTCTTTTGGACATAATTTCCAAAGCCTGTTCATTCCCTCTTTTCCCATCACCTGCCAATCCCCTTCCATCCAAGTACTAACACTGGAGAGAATTCTGTCAGTCTTTGGGGAAAGGAAAAGAAAGGCCATGGTTCATGTTTTGTTTGTTTGTCTTTAATCCTCCCAGAATGTACCTTGATTATATACATCTGTCCAGGGGACAATCCTTTACCTCACTGTGTCTCCAGCAGGAAAAAAATAATCTACTCAAGTCTCAGTATCTATTTGCAGTTGCCTGCATTTCACCGTGCACTCCATCTCCCATTTGCCTCCTCTACATCTTTGCATAGGTTGCCCCTCTCCCCCCATACCTGGGACACCTCCCCTCACCACTTCTTTAGAAACCTTAGATTCTTTCAAGGCTCAGCTCATGTGCTACCACATCCCCCTAGTTGTTACCTGCTTACTCTCCCCTAACCTGCCTTCTCAAATTCCGGGTATTTACTTATCTGTTTGTTTTTATCCCCTAGAAGAATATAAGTTCCCTGAGGGCAGGCACTGTTTTTCAATTCTGTCCCTGTATCCCTAGTACTTTGCACATAGTAGGCACTTAGTAAAATACTTGTGGTGTTGAGTTGACTGAAAGCAAACAAGTTTTCTCCCCCTTCCTCCATGCAGCCTGCACTGATGTTTGTTTATACAGCCCCAAAGGGGGAGAAATGGGTTCCTAACTCAGTAACAGCTCTGCTTTCAGCCAGACCTAGGTTCACTCTGTGGAAAGCAATAGCTCTCCAGGAAGAAGTCCCTTTCACCCATACAAACCTCTACAGACTAGTTGGGACAGCCTTCCCACTCTTGTCTCATGCTTGTGAGGTCTGGGCCCCTGGTTCAATCTGCTTCAGGACAGGGACGGTTAGCAAGCAGTGTCAAGGGTTGGGGAAGGGTCTTTGGTGGCACCTCTGACAAATTCTAGTCCAAAGCTCTTTGCTTGGCTGATGCAGCCCCTGAGGACATTCTAGTTCTTGGCTGTAGCTGGGGGAAGGGGAGAACTTTGAAAAGTGTCATCTAGTCAAATGTCCACTGGGTTCTGGGTAACTGAGGAACAACACTTTCTTGCATGGGGGAAGCTGGGCAGGTCCTAGCATTACCCTAAACTTAGGATACTCCATGGATTCTCTTCTTCTGCTGCCACCTGTAACACTCCCAAGAAAGTGATCTCTGGATCAAAGGTGGAGTCTTTAGAAGTCAGCTCAGCTTAGAAGTGTCCCCAGTCCTCAGACTACCTATTCAAAATCAGAAATCCCTTTAAGAAGGAGAATGAATGTATTTTTTTTTTTTTTTTGGTCTTTGTATGCCCAACATTTAGCACAGTTCCTGGGCCACACTTGATGCCTAATGATTGTTGATTGACTGTGGAAAGGAGGGTTCTCTCTTGGTGAGCTCTGATGAAGGCATTGACCCCAGTCAAATAGCCCAGCAAGAAAGTACATTATCAGTCACTGAAAGAATCTGAGGATTGGGGGTGGAGGGTGGGGGCAGGCTATCAGATACGAAAACACAGCAGGACTCTAGACCCATGGTCACAACAGGACAGAACTAGTCTTGGAAAAAGACCTCTCCTGAGTAGTTTCATGTTCTTCCTCTCCCATAGTCAGGACTGGTTCTTAGAACTTAGGTGGATTGGTAAGAGGGATGGTGGTGGGAGAATGCACTACCCCCTCCCCCCACATTCCACATGTCTTGGTGGGTTATGTTGACTCCTGTCCAACAACAGCTCCTCAAGCAAAAGTTAACTCCCAGGGTATGAAGTCCTTGCTCCCTCAGAAGCTCCCCTACAGCTCATCTGAAACGATTAACATCCTCTTTTCTATGTTTTTGCTCTTCTTGCCCCCAGGAGGATGGGAAGGAGAGGTTGTGTTCCCATTCTGCCCCTGTATTTTGACCTCCTGCATAGATTGCTGAGTGTACTGCTGGTAAGTAGGTGAGAAGTTGTGGATGGCATCCTGGACGATGTCTTGAGGGCTTATGGTCTCCTTGAGCCCACTGGAAATACTCTGCATGGGAGCCACCGTCACTGAGGGCAGAAAGTTAGAATGAGTGCAAGGCTAATATGAGGTCCAGAAAAACCTCCTCACATTAAGAACCGTCCCCAAATTGAAGAGGCTGCCTTGGGAGATGGTAGGATAATAGGATCACAAATCTGGAGCTGAACTGGGAGGCTACCTAATCCCTCTCATTTCTCAAATGAGGAAACTTGAGGCCCAGAGGGCTTAAAACACTGGCCCAACGTAAGGTAACACACCGAGCATTCATTTCAGCCCAGGTCCTTTGACTCCCAAGGTAGCAATCGTTCTATGTTGCTCTCTCTCCTTAGAGACTGGACTGTCACATACGTCATGGCGTGATGTCTTTGCAGGTATAGGTTGGACTGGATGGCTGCTAAGGTCCCCTCTAACTATAAAGTCTCTGATTCTGTCTCTAGGTCTGGAAAGGAGGAAGGGACAGACCCAATCCTCTGTCTCCAGCTCCAGCTCCCAATCTCTGAACCAGCCCACAAGCTTCTGGCCATCTCAGATAGTTGAATGGCTTTCACTCTTAAAGATAATGATAACTGGCATTTGTAGAGAGCCCAAAAGTTTGTTGTGTCGTACACAATCTCATTTGAGCCTCATAAACAACCCAATCAACAGTGAGGTAGGTACTACAGATAATATGCTCGTTTTACAGATAAGCAAACTGAGTCTCGGAGAAGTTAAAGGATTTGCCCGGGGTCCCTCACACAGCTAGTGTCAGGGACAGCTAGCTATTGTTATCTGTAAAATGAAGATAGTGATATTGGCCATACCTATTTCACAGAGTTGTTGGGAAAACTATATAAATGACACTTTTTCCCCCCCGAGTCCAAGAGTTTAATAACAACCCCTGTGATTCAGAAAGTGGCTTATAACTTCTTGAAAACTCTCCTGACTGCAGTTTGAGTTCATTACCTCTTGTTCAGTACCCATGGGAGACAGGACAGCTGGTCTCCATCCTTTGGATCCAATCACTTTTTAAATGAGCCATTTGCCTAAGTGTGACCCAGGAGGACCCTATCCCGGCCTTCCCCTTACCCAGGTGTTCTGTGAGTTGGTGTCTTAGTTGTAGGACCATGTTTCTATTCTTGTAGTCCTGAACCAAAGCGATCATTTGCTTGGGATTTTTGATAGAAAAAAACTCAAAAGCAAAAAATAGCACTTCACTGGGGTCTAATCAAGCAACCCTATCCTATCCAGTAACTGTTTGGGAGCAGAAATGATCCACAGACAGAAGGGGCACGAGAATTATACCCAAAATACTTGTCTAAGGCCATTCCAATTGGGACCAACTTCCTTTCAGCTTCCATTCCATTCTGGCCATCAGGGACTGCTTAGCCTTTGAGCTAGGTTCCTTCCCTGAATCTGTCTGCCAGGATTTGGTGTGGTAGGGAAAAAAACCAAAACAAAAAAAAAACAAAACCATTGGATTTAGGATCAAAAGATAGGGATAGGAAATAAACTTCTGATTTTGTCAACACAGGGGATTCCTGGGTGAGGGAACTCCCTTTACCAGTGCAGGTTGGCACCCTCTCCACAACTTCCAACCTTAGAGAGTTAGACAGAGCACTGAAAAGTTAGGTGATTTGTCCAGGTTCCTATAGCCAATATGTGTCAGACATAGCACTTGAACCCAGGTCTTCCTGGGTCAGAGGCCAATCCCTATCACCTATGGCATAGTGTCTCAAAGAGTCAGAGGAATTGAGGTCAAATTCTGCTTCTGTGTGACCTTTGGTGATTTATTTAACCTTTTTGGGCTTCAGATTGCTTAACAATAAAATGGAATTAGACTAGAGGACCTTTACCATCCTTTCCAGGATGAGCTCTATGCTGCAAATGAAGTTCTTGCTCAGATCCCCATTTTCAGCTATCTGGACCAGCTGTGGAATTACTGGTGTCCAACTTCAACTCCATTGAGCCCCAGATATTTGGCCAGGGTTTTCCCGATAAGGAGGCAAAACCCCCAGAAAGCAACAATTTGTCTGGTCCTTCCTTCCTAATGTTCACTTTTGCATCCTGGTTCCTGAGCTTGATGGGACCCTATGGCATATCACTCATGCCTTCTACAAACTGGGAGGTCTCAATACCACCCACTTGGCCTTTGGGATAGTCTTTCTTTGAGACTGAAGCCTGAGCAAATTACCTGGTGAGTTTTCCTTCTTCTCTGAGTACACCTGGCATGTGAAGGCATAGCGTAAGGCAATAGAGGCAAAGAGCATCTCAATGCAGATGATGAAGTTCTGGTAGCCAGCAGCCACTGTCCCAGCCCCTACCTCATTCCCGTCAATGATCTGCACCTCTGGGATCACCCCACACTTTTCCAGGATGGCCAACAGCATCCCTATGGGAGCAACATTGAGAGTCTCATTGGAGTCAGAGACAGGAAAGGAAAAATAACATGGCTGATGGGGAGACACAGCTACCCCAGGCTCCACCATGACAAAATAGGAGGTTGGCTGTGTTTCCCATAATAGAAAATGAACTCTATTCATTTAATTGGGCATGGCCTTTTTGGTACAGAGTTATAACTAGGAATTTTTGTACCTGAAATAAGGGAGGGTGATGGGTGGGTATGTGGCATGATGGGGAGTTCTCCTGGGATGTGGAAGAAAGTTCATCCTGGAACACCAGGATATGGAGGATATTTAACCTACTGAAGGACAGGATACTGCTGGGGATGCAGAGGTAGCTGCTCAATAGAAGAAATGTTTCCAGGATCAATGCTATTGGCACACTCAAATGTTTGGTACTCTGAGCAAGGTTCTGTTCTCACCACTTTAGTTGCAGATCTGGGGACAGGCATCTTTGCTCATACCATTCTCTGTTTGGAAGGGTCTATTTTCTTCACCTCTTTCTCCTATTTGAAATCCTTCCTATCTTTCATTTTTAATTAAACATTTTAATTGATGTCTTCTGATCACCTTCACTTATGAATAAATCCCACTCCTTTTTCCTCCTCTCTCTGTCAAATCATATTTTATAACAAAAAATAAAGAGAAAGTAGAAAAAAGTAGTTCAGCACAACCAACCAATATATTGACCACATAGTATACAGACTATTATACCACACCCACAGTCTCCCATCTCTGAAAAGAATGGATGGAGATATGTTTTCTTAATTTTACTACAAGACCGAAGCTTGGTCATTCTAATTATACAGTATTCAGTTTCCCTTTTTTGGGGGTGGGGGTGAGGTGGGGAGTGTGGGGTGGGTGGAGTTTTTTCCATTTACATTGCTGTAGTCATTGTGTATAATGTTTTCCTGGACCTGCTTACTTCACTTTGTGTCTGTTCATATAAATCTTCCTATGCTTTTCTGTAATCTTTATAGTCATCATTTCTCGCAGCACAGTAATATTCTTTACATTCACATACCACAACTTGTTTAGCCATTCCCCTACTCAATGGCCATCTACTTTGTTTCTAGTTCTTTCCTACCACTAGATGGTACTGTTATGACTATTTTGGTGAATATATGGGCCCTTTCATTTTGTCTTGGCCTCCTTAGGGTATAGCAGGAGGCGGTCTGGGTCAATGGCAATGTGACATCTTAGTAAATTTCTTAGGATAATTCCAAACTGCTTTCCAGAATAGTTGGATCAAGTCACATCCCACACACCACCCAAAAATGTCCATATCCATCTTTGGTCACCTTTGCCAACTTGCTGGGTGTGACGTAGAAATCCTGCCCATCTTTTAAGACTTAGTTCAAATGTCTCCTCTTCCTTAAAGTCTTCTTAAATTACTCCAGTTAGAAGTGACCTCTTCCTCATATCACTCATATATCTTATATCACTTATATATATATATACACATATATATATCACTTGTATGACTCATATATCTTGTATCACTTGTATGACTTCATATATCTTATATCACTCATATATGTCACATCATTTGTATGACTCATCTTATGTCTTCTATCACTCATATATATTACTTGTATGATTCATATATTTTATATCACTTATATCACACATATGTCTTACATCACTTATATCATTCATATATCTTATATCATTTCTATCATTTACATATCTTACATCACTTATATCACTCATAAATCTTATATATTTTCTATCACTCATGTCACTTATATACCTTATATCACTTATATCACTCATATCTTATACCATTCACATATATTATTTCTATCACTCACATATGTTACATCACTCATATATCTCATATCACTTCTATCACTCATGTATCTTATGTCAC